TTGAAGCTGAAGACGCTTGATCAATGCTGCGCCACGGCGTGCTTCACGCTTCAGTGTCCAATAGCGACATGCTTCTCCAAGATAGTCCTTGCGTTTCCGGAAAGAAAACCGCTGGATAGACGCCTCCACGACTTCAAAGACAGCCTGTGGTATGATGGGGGCACCTGATGGCAACTTCCACAGATTCTTTGGTGGCTGGCCTTTCTTCTTGTCCCCACCATTGGCAGCAGAGTTCTTGCTCCCTTGCGACTCGTCGGCGAGATTCTCCGTGAGGGCGTTTCTTTGCTCAGCAGCAATAGCATGGGCAACAGCGGCATTGTCAGCCCAGATGCGGTTCCTCATGGTCCTCTTGTAGAACTTCTTGGCCGCCCGAGTGGCCTGATGGACACCATTCTCCTGGGCATAGTCTTGTGGGCAATGCTTGTCGCAAAAAGCCTTGAGCACCATGCCACCATCCAAAACAGCTAGGGCACCCTGGCTCGTCTTCATCTTAAGGAAGAGCCGAGATCTGCGAGCGCACGTGACGTGGAATGCTTGGTAGCAGTTCTTATTTCCACACTGAATGCAGGCTCCCATTTTCTGCCGGCAGATGTAACACGTCAACTTCCACCGAGTCTTGGGCACCTTTTCTACGTCCATGACTGGCTCCATGAAGGTATGGTTGCCGAGAGAGACCTCGGGTATCCACATGGCGCAGAGCAGATGTGACCATTTCGAAGAATTCGTTTGCTTGAACGCGCCGTCGCTGTTGGGACAGAAGATGCAGGTCTAGAAGCTTGGTTAGTATTGGCTCTGCTTGAAACGTGTCGTTGTACTTACGGGAACTCCACGACCACAAAGCTGACATTTACGACACAGCCATTGACCTTCTGGAATAAAGGGCACACCGTAACATTCCTGGTGGACAGCAAGATTGCAGCCATCGCAGAACACGATCGCATTGGTGTTTTCGCAGTCGCCATCGTCGCAAATGGCACACTTGGAGTCGGGCTCCTCACCCGCCGGCTCGCCGTTAACTGCTGCGGCAGAGCTCGACCGAGGACGATGAGTCTGAGGCGGTTTGGGGTTTGGCTTGGGTATCCGCTTCTCCAGCGCATGCCACTCCTTTTCAATCTTGGTCATGGTGATCTCAAAGATTTCTCGAGGGATTTCTTCAAGCTGGTTTTGCTTGCGCTGCAAATTGTACTGCTCCAGCCACATGTCATCTTGCTCGTCCATGTCATACTCGACACGGCCGATTCTGGAATGGTGAACCGCTTCTTCGGAGGCGGCTGCCTCGGTCAGGTCTGCCTCATCCTCCGCGTTACCATCAGCAGATTTGATGAGGCTCTGCTCGGGGCGCATGTAGTGGTCGCTCTCTTGATAACCGACATTACTCATGGCCTTGTCGACATATCGAGCTTGTCCAAAAGTTTTGCTCTCAAACAATTCGATACGGTTAGTCTTGCGATATGACGGAAGTTTCAGGTCCAGCTTCTCCTTGGGAGTCTGATTCTGTATAGGTAGGATTTTTGGTGTTTTTGGTGTTGCGACAAGATCAAGAGGCCGGCTGCTATAAAAGCTAACGACATCTCGAGTCGGACGGCGAGGGCGCCTTTGCGGTGTGTCGACAGCAGCATCGGTGGGATTCGAGTCCGAGCGACCCTGGGGGTTCGGGGTGTTTCCGGTAGATGCGGGGTTCGGCTGTCTTGACGGAGTCATGGAACCGTTCATCGGAGTTCCAGAGGTCTGGATAGCAGAAGAATCAGGCGTTTCTTGGGGGATCCCGTCGACCTCTTCGGATCGCAGGACCAAGAAGCTGCCTTCAATATCAAGGTTGGGGTGAAAGTCTTCCCAACTGCGCTCTTCTCGGGGCTTGTAGTCTTCGGCCTGCTTGACGGCAGTCGCCATGGCTGCAGCAGAACCCCAATGCATCTCTTCTAGGTCATCGTTGCCGGCGGCTCGTGTGCGAGCGCCTCGCTCTCGTCGTGGCATCAGGGAGGGAGAGTCGCCATTGATGGCCTCGCGCGCGGCCGTTCGTGATCGCGATATCGTGGAAGGTCTGGAAGAACTCGGTGTTTCGAGCATATCGGAATCGATAAAGCGCCCACCTCCTCCAGGACCGCCTGGGACATATCGGCGCCTCTTTGGAGGGGGCTCGCTTGCTGCTGCGGCTGCGAGCGCGGCGGCCCGCGCGGCGCGAGCAGCGTTGGTTGTACCGGGAGGACGCCCTCGGCGCCTAGCAGTTGGCGGCCTCCTCGGAGTAGGCGAGGCCGGAGCCATCTTGACAGAAGCTAAAGACGATGAATATGGGAGATTCGAAGGCTCGCTGGCGCAGGAGTCGGGTAGATGAGCGCGTCAGGGAGAAGGTGGCGCGCGGGCTCAGTCCGGGGTTTGGCGGGGTAACCAGTCATCTGGAGGGCGCCATACACGCCGGGACGGGTGCTTCCTCGTATCCTGCGAGTTCAAGAGTCGAAATAGGGCTTGGTTGGTGAATGGTTGATGGAAGTTGACAGCATCAGGAGTAGACGTGACGTCGGCTGGCGGCTCTGCCTCGGGCGTAGAAAAACATGGATACACGCGTGAAGTTGGAGCGCACGGACCCCAAGACCGGAGTCGTGGCCCCAAGTGTCAGGGGTTTGCATTAGTCAGCCTGGGGAATTCCCGATCCGATCCTGTTGAAAGCCATGGATGGCAATTGTTGGAGAGGAGCTTTGTGTAAGTGAAGGATTGCGATGTCTGATTGATAAAGGATGTCGCTGGTGTGTGTCTTTCATTTATACAATATTGAGTCTCCAATAATCCCATTGTTCTTTACCTCTTGAAACACATCCAAGCCTTTACGAGAACACCCGGAATGGCCGCCAGTATGCAAAGACCATGTCGTTCAATCAATACTCAATCTCAGTTCCATAGTTAAGCGATCTACAGATGGAGGAAATCCGGGGACTTGAGCATTCAAGAAAATCTCCGAAGCGGGGGCCATCATTGGGTGCACTGCCACGCGTTTGCAGAAAAACATGAGAAACCAAGTCAACGATCTTAAATTTCTGAGGCAAATAAAGGTCCCTAAATATAATAAATAAAATACTTAAAGATTTATAATATTATTCCTTATTTTTATCTCTTATTTAGCATATAGTTAGGTAATTATGTGAGTACAAGTTTTCTTACGTCTAGGTGACTGCCAAAACATGCCCGCCCATCTCCTCAGATTGGCTCCTCGAGTCGCAAGCCGAGGCCTGCCAGACTTTAAGCTTCTTGTCGCTGCTTACCATTTCTTCAAGCGAGCGCCATGGACCTCGTCGTTGAAGCGAATCACGTCGTCTTGTCCGTCATGCACACATTTCACAGTCTGGCCAATCCGACATTGCTTACAGACCGCACCTATGAAACCGTGCAAAATGAGGTACCAATCAGCGAATATTCGTGTGTGCGCGCATGCCCAACCGCGAATCTCAAATGCTCGCACGTGGAGGAGTAAACATGTTCATGCGAGATCCATACATGGCGGGCCACGATGGCCTCAGATCTAGAGACCCTAGCGCTTTGTCGGCGGCGCCCCCGGCCGTGGGGCCGCCTATTCCGATCCACTCGGTCGCCTCGGGTCCGACATGGCTTGCATCGAGGTTGACGTGTAAGTAGAAGGACCGAGAAGGCAGGGGGTTCATTTCTGGGGTCTGGGGTTAATCTGATCAGATAGCTGGTTACACGACGCTCACTCACGATCCTACGCAGTGCTATTGATTTCTGTAGATCTATTCTATGGCAGATGAGGGCGGCTAGATCTAGCCCAGGCGCCCCTTGTATTATACAGCATTCTCGAATTTCAAGGCGCAGCAATGACCACAAAAATGAGACTCACCGCAGCAAAATGCGACGATCACCAGCGTCACTATCCTTCATCCATAAGCACGTCGCAACTCAGCTTGATGGCTTGCCAGCACCGAACTGTAAACCTTCAGAATGATCGACGAGACCCCGAAGAATATTTGGAATAGCACCTAGACTATTACTGACCAAACCGACGTGATAGCAATCATGCATCAACCTACATCCCTCATGTGCGTCTCTATTCACGAGCACTGAACCTTGGCGTTGACACATGCCAATCGCTCATCCGTCTATTGCCCAAATGTCTCTCCAGCCTCACCGAATGTCTGCCATGGCGATAGCTTCACTCCATCCAACCATCCCTTAGATCTACACCACATCCCACTCACTCCCACCTGAAACCAGTTTATTCAGCGCCAAAGAAACCCTCGAGCATGTACCTGATACTCCTGGCCCAGCCCACCATCGTCATCGGGCTATTCTCCTTCCCACCACCATCATCACCACCACCCACCACCTTCACTAGTCGAAACCTGCCACTCCAAGGACCCCGAACCAGCCAGATTATACTTTCATCTTTCCAACCCTTTCCTCCTTTCAGAGGCCGCCAAGCCCCAAACAATTGCCCAGTGCCTCCTCACTCCCCAATTCGGGGCGCCGGCCTAAGTGCGGTCATGCGAACTTGGCCGTGGCTGACCTGGTCACGTCAGCCAACCCTTCTTTTTTTAGTCTCCAACACTCATGGCGGCATCACCGGAACACCCAGTGCCTGGAAGGGTCATTTCTTCAAATGCCAAAGGATGAACTACAACGGCACGTGGTCAAGAACACCATATCCTCCCCTAAGGGCGGCGGCTAATAACCTATCGACCTCTAAGCACAACAAGAACAATGGAATAGTAAATGAAGGACATCCAAAGTATCGCTTCTGCTATAATGACATTTTTTACTATTTTGGCGTATTTTCTATGACCACTCATCAGCTGTAGGGGTTAGATAGTACGCCCTTGTGGTTCTAAAGTATTGTTTATGTCTTGATCTGTGTGAGAGGGCAACCCTTGATCATTCCATCAGGCACATTTGCACCCACAAAGGCCCGTGGTGAGACAAGATCATTCTACGTCTCAGTCAAGTGATTAGTTAGACCTCTACAAGTCATAGCAAACACCAAAGATGCATCAAAGTTTGAACAGATCCATGATTTCCATGTATTACAGCAACTCTCATCTCAACAACAACTCTGTCAACCCCTCAACTATGGAAATCCACAAACTGTGTGCCTTGTCAAACGACCACTGAAGTCTTTTTTCTTTCAGCCCATGCCACACAACCCCAAAATGCAAAACCAAATGTCAGCCTTGTACCGTAAACGCCTTGTCCAGACTCCAGCCAAAATAAACCAATGTCGGGGGTTTCCCTCCCGATATAGATGAGGAAAAAAATTGAGCATTCTTGAGAAGCAAGTCCTGCCCTCAAAAGGGATTCTGCTTCCCCGCATGTTCTAGATATGCGTCTAGACCACGACTAACATGATCAGGAATGCTCCGGCAACCAAGAATAGCAACCATGAGTAATGATGATGGCTCTGAATGCTCAAACAAATGCAAATGTTCCTTCTGCCAAAAACGCCGCCTCGCTATGCTCCGTAATATCATCGCAAAATGCTTATAAATGTCGAAAACAGAAGTGTGGCCAAGCTTGACTCTCCAGAATCAAGCTAGGTCAAGGAGAATTGAATCATGCTGCAGAATCCACCAAATCCTGCGGCAGAGAGGGTATATAGGGGTATCATTGGGGTATCATCATCCTCCGGATACAGATGGTGTGTGAGTGTCTTGGTCTAGCCCAAGGTTCGGCCACTGTGAATGGCCTGCGCTTGGGGAAGATGGATTGGAGTATGAGCGGTGCGCATGACAGGGGTAGATGGGAGACCAGGAGATGAAAACTCTGCCGGACGGCTGGAGCCCCAGCTCTCCTCGCTCAGGACTGAAAGGTAGCCGTTTCCGACCTTATTCCGCAAGGCCTCAATCTTCTGGCGATACATCTCGCCGCTGGCATCCCAATCCTGGGGCTCTTTCCAATCCGCGCGGTCGTCGTCGGTGGAGTAGATAGTGGAAATGTTTGGTACCACGCTGGTATCAATTCGGGGTACTTCGGGGGCGTTCACAACGCCCGACTGGGTGGAGAGTACCGCCGGAGGCAACAACTGAGTCTCAGGCTCTTGCGAGATTCGATAGTTCCCATCATTTGTGACTGGCGCCTTGGGCTGTCTGACAGCTGGCTTCGCCACGTGCACGTCAACAGGGGTGGGAAAGGAGAGTGTGTCAGACGTGGCAAGGTCGACGATACGTCTCTTGGGGGTCTTCCGCCGACGCGTCGAACTTGTGTTGATCTCGCTCATGACAGCCTTGGGGGCAGGTCGCTCTTTTCGGAGAACGGTTGGCTCCTTGGGGGGATTGTAGATGATGGCAGGTTTGCTCACATCAACAGTGGGCACCTCAGGAGCCTGTGGCTTGACCACGGGGACGGACTCGGGGATGGGAGGGCGTTCGACCAGCATACGCTTTTCGGCATAACTGGGTCCGCTGCCATCAATGATGACATCCTCCGTGTAGCCCGGGGTCTTGCGGAAGAGGTTGAAGATGGTGACACGGTAATCTTTATGCGTGCGTGTGAAGGGGTTACCTTCCACCCAAATCTCATGAATATCAGGGATACCAGTCAGTCTCGCGAGCTCCATGGGATCAACCAGACGGTTCTCTCGCAGATCAAGTCGCTCAAGGGGGAACAACTTCTCAACACCAGCCAGACACTGAAGTCTGTTGGCTCTGAGGTTCAAGGCTGTGATGGCGGGAAGGGGGTTGCGAGTGAGCGACTGAAGCGAGTCAATCATGCAGTGTGACAAGTTGAGGGCTCGCAGAGCAGTAAGCGTGGCCAGGCTGTCCGGAACCTGACTGAAGAGGTTGGCTGAGAGGTCAAGAGAGTAGAGTGTGTTGGAGAGGGGAGCGAGGCTATTGTGAGGAATGGAGGTCATGGAGTTCTCCGCCAGGCTCAAGTGTCTCAGGAATCGCCATTTGGAGGCAGGAAGGATGCCCATCGCAAGCAGATTGCCCGAGCTACCACGGGCGTGATGGTGACCACCCCAGGAATCCGAGAGGCTGGAATGAGAGCTACCAGATCCAGATCGCCTCATACGGTGATGTCCACCACGAACGTGGTGGGACTGAGTCCGAGAGCTAGCAGGTCGAGGAGGTGAGTTGCTTCGGGGACGAGCCTCCTTGTGTTGAGGCTTGGAGGAATCATCCTGGTCCTCTCTGCTCAAAGACTGCCTGCGGCTGCCTTCTTCCACAGCATGTTCGCTGGGCGTCATCGAACCAATCCTCATATCAACATGGTGACCAGGAGAGCTCGGTGCAGAAGCGGCCCGATGAAGCTCTGGATGGCCAGCGAGGACACCGCTTCGTCGAGGGCTGCTGCTCCCTGCCCACGCGGAGGTAGGTGATGACTGTGATTTGGAAACTCGTCTCCGACGCTTATCCATGTCATCCAATACGATCTCAATCAGAATGTCCGCAGGATCCTCGACACCAGCACGCTTGAGCGTCAATGATCGCAGCTGATCGGCCAAGCGATCCCAGCCGAAAAACTGTCGAAAGTCGATGCTGTTGACCTCGAGGGCCTGGAGGTTCTTGAAAGCGTAAAGAGGGACGGCCGAGTCAAAGGGGAACTCCTCATAGCCACGGATCAGGCGAGCACGCCAATCCGGTGCCAGCTTAAGACAGGGAATCTTGGTAAACGCAGAGTAAAGGTACTTCATGTCGGCTTCCAGAGCAGCCTTCTGGCGCTCAGTGCGGGCAGCAGAGATGCTGGCACCGATGCCAAAGCTGGCCCACAAGGCAGACATGCCAGACATGACGCTGCGCATACTCGATACCGAATGAATGGAATCGATATCGGAACCCTTGCTCCTTGACCGTTGGGTGTTGCTGAGGAACGAGACATAGTTGGCTGAGGATGAGCTGTCGTGGAGGTTTTCCAGCCGGACCTTCATAGGGCCAACATTGATGTTGAGCTCTTCGAAACGCGAGAGGAGATAGAATAGGTGGTGAGGGGTGAGCGCCAACTTGGCCGATTTGACATTATGGGAGGTGAAGCTGAGGGCGCCCAGCGACAAGGCGGCGGCGAGTGAGCTCGAAGTGGATGAGGAGGTAGCGGGTCGGTCGGGGAGGGAGGTTGAGGTCTGGGAGAGTGCGGCGGCAGAGCCAGTGCTCTGAGAGGATTTGTGCCGAGTTTGACGGCGTTGCAACTGAAGGGCGTTTGCGAGGGCCTTTTCATGCGTCCGCACGAAGCTGGCAAGTTGCTACATCAGTCAGCTGGGTTGCCCAACCTTTTGAAACTCTCAAATATCACCATACCTTTATGAACAGTTCTCCGTCTTCTGAATCCATAGTTATTGTCCACTACGCATAGGAGCGGGGTCGGTCGTGGTTATAGAAAATTATATGGTCGGATGGGAGAAGCGATGCCGGGGAGGGATGGCGTCGCCTGGGGTATCACGGTCGGAGGAAGATCGAAGGTTGCAAAAGTTCTACCTATTTCACAATAAGGTTAGTCGGATGCGTCGCCAAGCGGCAGCTGAAAAGGCGTAAAGAAATGTATAAAATGTGAGCAAGCAAAGCACGAAGGGTCCAAGGCGTTCTGCACAAATCTCGGCATCCAGTCTGCAGGCGGTGTTGGCATGATATGCCAGCTGAAATAGGGCGAAAATGGTTGTATAAGTGTAAGTCGACTGGTGATCGTCACTGCACAGCCTCGCTGTTCACTTTGCCGCCCGTGGATTGTCAGATGGGAACCGAAATCGTAATCGTGGTCACACGCATTCGATGGTCGTTGAGGCAGCAGTCACGGAACACGGGCGAGGAGGGAGCGGCGATGGCTTCGGAGAAGAGGTTTGGACTGGGAGCACGAGATTTCTGGCCAGGAGAAGCGAGTGCAGGACACCGAGAATCGCGCAGAGCGTAGCAAACGAGACGAAGGTTCCGGATTGCAAGAGGACAAGATTTTCAGGCAGAAGACAGGTAGAAGCAGACAAAGTTCGGTTTTCAAGCGTGAAAAGCCGTGGTAGACACAGAAGCGGTAGGCAGCCGTGACGAAGACCCGAGCGTCTTCACCACGGGATCCTTCTTCACTGTTGTCGCGACGCAGCAAATCAAATAGCAACAAATAGACAGCGATAAACAGCAAGCAATTTAGAGAGACATGCAAAGCAAACGCAAGAGAAGAGGGAATGATGGAAGGGAATGCAATCAAGATCATCGCGGAGCATCATGGACTCACCTTTGACGGGAAGGGAAAACCCAGCGGCGGTTGCAGCACAGCAACGAGCCAAAAACCGGGAAAGGATTGTAAAGCCTCGACAGGTTCACCAGACAAGAACAGCTGCGAACCCAAATTCCTCCGTGGCCGTGAGGATGCCTCGAGAGGATTGTCGATATGAAAAGGAGAGGAGGAGGAGGAGGAGGAGGATGGCGTTGATGTGATCCAGGAGTAGACGGGAGGACGCAGAAGTAAAGGAAGGGTCCCAAAAGGAAGGTGGAGGGGCCTGGAGGGTTCCTATAGTAATATGGAACGGGCGCTGGCTGCGCAAAGAGGGACCCGACCCGTCGAGGAGAGGAAATGACCAGGGTCTCACCTGGGATGGGATTTTTCTGGCTGGCTCTGATTCTGCTGCCTCGATGGATGTGTCGAGAGAGATCACAGCGCTCTGCAACGACCTGGCAGGCCCAGTAACACAGGGCATCTCAGGCCTGTCCTCGCACTCCCTGGCACCTCGACACCCTCTCCCAGGACTAGCACGGTTTTTCGGTCCCCTAAGCACCACACCCTGGCAGTCTGGCTGGTTCATCAGCGGTCGTACGGGCGGCTGATTGGGGCTGGACGGGGCCAGGTTGGGGGGCACGCACCCCATCTCGCAAAGTATCCGGTACTTGTGACCCGCCTCAGGAGCAATGACCATCAACGGGGTGTCCACTGAGGAGCCACTTGAGGAGCCTGTGGGCGGCCACTTGGTGTGGACCCTGCTGGGTCTCTTTGCCGCCATCTGAACGAGGGTCTCCCCCCCATCCCGGCCGAGGGCATTCCCAATCCAAAGCATGCAATCCCCAGAAATCGTCCAATGATGATGACTGCTCAACCACCGCCTGCATGAGCGCATTGCAGTGCAGAGCGCAGCCAGATGCGCAGCCAGATGCGCAGCCAGAAACCGTCCGCCTCCCTCTCGCGCGCGGTCGTCTCGGGCCTTGATGCCATCCGCAGCGCAGCCAAGCAGCAGTGCCTCTTCGCTTCGTGCGCTCCGCATCCATCGCATCTCGGTCTGTCTGCAGCCGGGATGAGATAACACCGACGACGACTGGGGGATCCTGCGACTACGACTTCGACGACGGAGACTACTTACGTACCGATCAGAAATTGGCCCTGGCTTTTTACCTTGCTTGCATCAACTCAACCTTGGACCATCCCAGGATAAACGATGGATCCAACCAATCCATCCCTGGTACCACCGCACCTCAACCGCGACGTCTTGCTCAAGCTGAGTAGGGATTTTCCCGTCACCTCTCACCTCAACTCCGCATTCATCCATCGCCTCTCGGTTTTTCGCGTTACCCCATCGTCATTGTCGGTCAGGCTGGATAAGAAGAGAACCGGCTTAGAAACTTGGAACAATCCAATAATGGAGAATTTGGATACCCAAGAGGTTGAGTTCAGTTCAGCCCAGCCCGCCGCCACTTTCGTATCCGGGGAATTGGGTTGGGAGAGAAACATGTTCCAATATCAACTCCATCTTTTTGGTTATCTTTACTCAACTTGCGCCTCATGATTTCACTCACGATACTTCAAGCTACAGAGGGCTAACAATGGTCGACGGACCAGCCTCGCTAACTATTCACTAAAATCGTCTTTTCAACGGTCACAGTCATCGCTCGATACTATGTAGACAGTCGCTCCGGGTTCGCCGTGGGCTGAAGTCCGCTCGATAACGAGACCGAGAGGTTACTCGCGACAGTGACAGAGAGGGCAACACCAAACAGTCCGCCGAGCGTTGGATGGTCTTGAGTGGAGTCGTCGAACGGGACCATGCTCGGGTCGCTCACCACAGTGGGGGTCCTCTTGGCGTGCACCCACCAGGAGGTTGAGGAAAAAAAGAGATGCCAGTACAAACATATTTACTATCCTCCCCTGAACGTGGTATGTTAGATACAAAGTCAATATATAAAAGAGCTCTAAAGTGTTACCTTTACTACTATATACACGCATGTATTTTATCATATTTTTATCAATTTAATTGTTACACTTGAGAAGAGTCAAGTCACCTTCTCAATGTTCTGGTGTCTCGTTTATTTCTTGACCCGCGTGGCGTGGAACCAGGATCAGGAGGACCAGGCCAGACGCGCAACGACTCGGCGAGTAGCAGGTGAGAATGCAAGAGCTGCACTTGAGATTGGTGATGGGTGTTCCGCCTAGATGGCCAATCTAGCATGGGCGCAAGCCGCTTATTTCCTCTAGGGGGATCTAGAGAGGCCGTAGCGTCGGCTACAGTCGAGGGTTCGGGAACTCTGTACGCTGGGCCTTCATTTCCAACAGGACCAGTCCAGGCTCAAGCATCGTCAACAGCAACACACGGCGACCACGAATCGACGAGGAAATGCGGCACGGTTGTTGTTGGTCGGTGCAGGCAAAGATGAGAGATTGAACCGTGTGCGTGCTCACGCCTCAGCCATGTCTCACAGTCCAAGCCAAGCAAGGCTGGGGGAGGCATGGCATGGCATTGACGGACGGCACAAGGTCATGGACCCGCCGTCTTTATGGATGTTGTTGTTTGTTTACTTGGCCCGGAGATGCCGCTATTGACCATGGAGACACCGATATAGCCTCCTCGGTGGACTCCCGAATGAGAACCAAGAGGTTGAGAAGAGGCAACCATCAAGAAGACAAGAGTCAGGCTGCTGTCGTGCAACAGAAGAATTTGTTCGCCTCTTCTCTTATCGCGACATTCTAATTCCCGGGTAACTCGACAGGCACTTGTAAATTTCTCAGTCGGTGGAGCGAGCGCCGGCATTGGTGATGCACACCAAGCAGTAGCAGCAGCAGGACAGAAATGTCATGCAGCGCATCCTCATCTTCCTGACTCGCAGTCTGTCGCAGTCCGTCCTTGCATCACATCAGTCCCCTTCTTGTCGTGACCCGAGACATGGTAGATCACGCTTCGAAAATCCCCATACCAGACGATAGGCAAGACTTTGTTATCTCGGGGAGTCGCACAAGCCTCCTCTTATGCCCAGCCGAAACCCATCAGCCGTGCCACCGCCGTTTCGACGTATTGCCGGCGTTCGTTGATGGGTACTGTACCTGAGATGATCAAATGAATATGGATGTCAGTCAGTACAAGGTGCACGCAACATCAATCACGCCGGCCAGCCAACCACCACGGGTCTGCTCCAGAAGAATCCCACCTCGATCAACCATCCACACCAACCACCATGCTCTGGATCATCCATCCATCCATCCGCTACAGCGCAGTCCAGTGCATGATTCACTGAATCAACAGCAAGCAAACACCCACCACCAACCGTCACATCCAGATCCAGAACCCCCGAGCCCGCCTGTATCGCGGCAGGCGTCTGTCATGACTCCATGGCACATCCAAGACATGCCTATCACGCAGCACAGCTCGTTGCTGCCACGAGACCATCCGCTCCGTTCCGAGCTGTCCCTCCCTCCTCCTCCTCCAACATCTTATGCTCGCACCACGCGCATTCCCGTCATGAGGATGGAACATGCGGAAGAGGCCATTTCCTCAGCTCAGCTTTCCTTCTGTGGGAGAGCCTCTGCCGCCACTGTGCTCCCCTTTAGACCTCCTTGTGGCTCGCATTGGATCTCAACCAACTCTGCATCTGCATCTCTGCTGCGCTACGCTGCCTGCGCCTTTGGCCTGTGTCGGGCGTCGCCTCAAGCGGAGCCTCTGACCATTTGCTTTCACTCTGGGCCGCTCTGGGCGCGCCCCCCAGCAGTTATGTCATATCTCCACTGCACCCGCGTGGCGCCGACGTTTGATTGGGGGAGTGGCATGTCATCTTGCTTCAAGGGCCTCTTGAGCCCCTGGTCGCAGTCCCATGTACTAGGGACAAGTACGAGTACTTCTCACCTGCAACTTGCAGGGTTCTCTCCTTTATCCTGGGCTGTTAGTGGACGCCCATCCCGCCCGAACCACCGCAAGATGCTCCAGCTCGTCTGTGATGGCCATGATCTTCAGCATCTCTGGCATCCCGCTGCGCTTCAAAACGACCAACCACTGCCAAGACACGTCCGGGCTACCTCACTGCGTCACTCTACGATAATGGACATTGGATAATGTGGCCATTTCCGTATCGATTTTCATTAACTTACAGAA